GCCACCTGAGGTTGATTTAACACCCCTGCTCCTGGACAGTGAAAGCGGCTGATTATACAGCCAGCCAGTCCCCTTCCCCCTTCTCATCTCCCTCAGCTACAGCCCATTACCCAGAACTGCTGTGCTGCGCTGTCTGGGCTCACGCAGACACGGAGAGGACGCAGAGAGGCAGGTCATAACGGTGAGACAAGATCAAAGGCAGTAAGTGTGTGTGTGTGTGTGTGTGTGTGTGTGTGTGTGTGTGTGTGTGTGTGTGTGTGTGTGTGTGTGTGTGTGTGTGAGTGAGAGAGAGAGAATGAATCAGCATATCAATGTGTGTATTTGCTCTTTGGGAATCTGTATAAATTTCATGGAAATGTTGACAGCCTTGACTTTAAACTGTCAACGTCAGAACTTTTCACATTATAGCTAAATGTCTGTGTTGAGGTTAGACTGATGATGAATGTACAATAAACTGGGTGTGCAGTATGTGTATGTTTGCTGTGAAGTGCTTTGATTTGCTGAAAAAGAATAGAAAACACTACAGTATGGAGTGAGACAAAAATGTATTCCAGCATCTTGTTTACCATCTGATGATGAAAGTTTGCAGCTTTTTGTTGAAACGGAAATAAAAACTGAAATGGACTTGGAAGTGAGTGCAATTTGTTTTATGTGTCAGTCAGATATGAATAGTCATTACACAAACAAACACACATGGTCATGAACACACACACACACACACACACACACACACACACACACACACACACACACGCAGATAAAAACAAGAAGAAGAGAGATCACTTTGACAAAATTGACTAGAAAAGTTAAAACACTAAAACGAAGTGTTACAAGATTAAGATTTTTTTTTCACCCTGTGCCTTTTTTTGTACTTCGACGTATGGATTATTGGTGACCTTATTGGCTGAGCATACGTCCTTTCAGCAGGTGAGCAGATCAACAGGTGACAGGTGGGAGGGCACACACAGCTTCATGAAAGGCTACTGGGCATTCACATAGCAGCTATAATTACGCAGGGATTAGCCTCATTTTCTGCACATTAAAGAAACTGTACGAGAATCTCTATTTGTAGACTCTCATGTTCACCTACCTGATTTTGTTTTGAGGTGTGGGTTGGAGTACTGTTCCTGCATGTGTTTGTATTTTTTGACATATTCATTCAATGTTCATGGAGGGGAAGAAGGGGATTCATGTTGGGCAGCACAGAAACAAAGCCCAGCATCACATAATAAAATATGATTCCCATCTTTGAAACAATGCCAATTTAAAATTCTCTTTTGAATTCTCTGTTGTGTTTAAAATCTGAACAATAAAAGGACTAAACAAACACGGTAAGATCCTATTTAGAAGAAAATAAAATGAACAGAATTTCATTCATTCAAATCATGAATTTTATATATTGAACATATAGAAAAATAAATACTAAATATTAATATTCACAAAATGATTGTGTGAGCCTTGGACATCAATTGATAATTTTCCTGATTCCTGACTGTCCTTGGTTAGCTATGAGGATCACCATTGTTGGAGCTGTAGATAGACTCTCAGTGCTGCTGCCTACTCCACACTCAAACTCATTGTTCAGGGTTCAAAATTTGCATAATGCTTTCACCTTGGCATTTCTCTCCTTTAGAATGTGTGATAAAAAAGACTCTCTTATAACACACACACACACACACACACACACACACACACACACACACACACACACACACACACACACACACACACACACACACACACAAATACAAAAATACAAAAATACAAATACTGTAGCACAGGTAAGGTTACGCAGCCTGATTAGCCCTCATTCAGAGGGAGAGGGAGAGACTAAAAGAGCTATTCTGGGGTGGAGATCCATGCTTGACTTTTCATCTGGTTTCTGTTTCTTTATTTGTGAAGATACAAATCTGCGACACACTGACCTCAACCTGAAGAATAAATAACAGTTCTCTGTTCTGAAACAACAGTAATGTCACTTTAAATGACAGAAAGTTGCCAGTTAAACACTCCTCGGCAGGGAAACTGGACATACTTTGTTAGAATTCCAAGGTCACGTCATGAACCTTAATAAGGGTCAATTCAGGGGCAGCATAACAGCCTACACATTCTCCTGTCCAGTATTCATATTTACTGAGCAGATCACTCAATAAAGAACACTGCAGAAATCACAGCTCTTCTGACACAATGTATACAGGTTTTAAAGCTCTCAGCCTATGGTCCTGTTTGGAGAAGTATACTTGTAAAAAAGTGTCTTAGATGAGACTTTATTTACAATTATTTTTGGCAAGGACAGGTTCACATTTTTTCATAATTATGGATTTCAGTTCTAGTTGGTAATTTAATTCTAGTGCGGGAATGGTGGACTCTGCCACTGACGATGAAAAGTACCACAGAAAGGTAATTACAAACTGTACTACTGAATGGCTAAGAGTAGGTGTAACTGCCAACTGAACATTGAGTTATTGGCAGTGGTGGGAGAAGGACTCAGATCCTTTACTTATGTGAAGTTCGAATGTAAAAATACTTCATTACAAGTAAAAGTCCTACATGAAAAATCTTACTTAAGTAAAAGTATTATTCTAAGATTAATACTGAAGAATCAAGAATGTAAGCAGCATGTAGCCTAACTATTGTAGCGACTGGAGGTGGAGCTAGTTTCAACTACTTTATATACAGTTTTATATACAGGGACAGCAGGTAATTCTGAGGTGTTGTGAGACAATTAATGGGAGAGAAAAGAAGAAAAAACAAGTTCTGGTACATAAATCAGTTTTCAGTTTTTAGACTTTTTCTCTCATCTTTGATTTTTGTTAAGCTATTGGATGATTTGAACATTTATTAAAAAGGAAACCATGTGAGAAGCTAAGAGACAAGAATCATTATTTGGTGGAGCTGTTAGAAGCCGAAAACATCGGAAACCACCGGTTTAATCTTGAACAATATGTTGTTTGACATAAGTTTATGTCGAGCAAATGTAGTGGAGTAGGAAGTGTAACATTTCCCTCTGAAATATAGTGGAGCAGAAGTACAAGTACCTCAAAACAGTACTTATGTACAGTACTTGAGTAAATGTACTTAGTTACTTTCCACCATGGTTGCTGTAATTGTTCCTTCTGTCCATAGTGGTTGTGAAGAGATCCCTTCCTAGAGCAACGTCAGGGCGAGTGATGAGGACACAATCGACTTTCTGTGCAAGAATGTAGTCTGAAATTAATATGAAGCTTCAGCGGTCTGTGTATATACAAAGAGGGAATTTCGACTGTAACTCTGGGAGATACCCACTATAACTCGGACTGTGTTTCCTTGGTGAGCTGCAGGGGTGGGAAAACAACGGTGAACATCTGCACTAAAAATCCATCCAGAAAAAGAATCAACAGTTTTGATAACTGATTGATAGGTAAGTAATTCATCAGTGAAAAATACCAAATACTCACCGGTTACAGCTTCTCAAATGTGAGGATTTACTGCTTTTCTGTGTTGTATGAAATTACTTTACAACCCTAGAATCCAACTTTTGGAAGGTATTCACTTACACTGGAATAATGTTAGGAAGGAATCTCCTCACAGCCTGTGTGGACAAAAAGGAGGAATTACATGAACCAAAAAACCCTTTCAAAGTACACGTGGGCATGTGGGTATTGTGTTAAGACAATGTTAATGCTTTTCCTGTCTGATGATTTAGCCATTTGTCTTCAGAAATACATGTCTAACACTCATTTGCATTAGTGTGGCCACCTAATGCATTTTGGAGCCATGCCATTTTATCCCAAGTCTTGCATTTATATATACAGCATTACCTACAAAGAAAGCCTGAGTTACAAAGTGATTTGCAGGAACTCATAATTATTCTTCCACTGTGCCTTCATAATAGACTACTTCACCCAGCCTAACTTCGGGAACACTTTCAAGTTCACCCTGCCATTCATGGCACTGAACCTTAGCAAGCTTGTCTGAAAGATTAAGAGCATAGTGGAATCATAATAAAGGTGACAGAGGATCTCTCATGGGACACCTCGCCTCCAGGAACGCGGCAGAGAGATCCGACTTTCTAATGCAGTTAAATTAATTCCTCACAAGGCATTTTTACACCGATTGCCTAAACCATAAATACGCTGCTTCTGGTCTGGTGTCAATTAGGAGAAAAGAAATCTGTCAGAAATACATAATAAAAAAATAATAATCCTTCTGTAAAATAATCAAACAAGCTCCTTACTACCTTATCAAAAGGTTATAAGGAATCGTGTCATTTAAATGTCACAAGGGGTGCAAAGGTGGAAAAATTATGCGTTAGTTTATTGGATAATTATACTTTTTTTTTTCTTCTATCATGAGCATCATTTTAATCATAATGGTTCAGTGGTGCTCTTTCATGTCTGAGGTCAGGCTACATCATTTTCTTTAGAGAATAAAATGGAAACAGACATTACAGCACCACAAATGAAAATACAGATAAAACGAAAAAAAAACCCCACTATATAATGTAATTCTACATCAGTCGAGTCCTTAATGCACAAGCAAACCTGTGTAGCATCTGGGCATCTATTCAATACCTCGCTGTATTGTGTGCATTCAACCACTGTCTCTAAGTGAGGTAAACAAAATGCCACGAGTGTTTGTACTGGTAGATAAATGCTACGCTGCCCACCATTACTCACACTGGCAGCCTCAAATAAGCTGTAGTGTACTGAGTTATGTGGGCGGGCTGTCTTAATTCTCATTTGAAATTCAAAGTGGTTTTCATAAATTATTCAATTTATACAAAAATACACAAGACAATGCATCTAGTGCATTTATTAACACCATAAACGGCTGTTTTAATTCTGTGACAAACACAAATACAGGTAGAGCACAGGAAACAAGAGGTGGTGGCTTCTTAGGATGTGTACACATGTATTTACCTGCAAGTGTGTGTGCATGTGTGTGTATGTGTGTGTATGTGTGTCTGTGTATGTGTGTGTGTGTGTGTTCACATGGGTGTGCATATGTCTATTACTCACCCCAGCGTCGTCATGGTGACAATGGTGTACCAGAAAGAGGCTGGGATGCTGGTGAACTTGCTGGAGCTGGAGCCCTTCTCTGCGTAGAACATGACCGTGGCGAAGATGATGATGGCCATGGTGAGAGAGAAGAGGAGGAAGCCCAGCTCTGAAGCGCAGCTCTTCAGTGTATAACCCAGGATCCGAAGGCCCTGTGAGTGACGGGAGAACTTGAAGATGCGAAACACTCGAAACACTCGCAGCGTCACAAAGGCGCCGCTCACATCCTCGTTGTTGGTCATCACCAGGCCGATGTAGTACGGCAAGATGGCCACCACGTCGATGATGCTCATCACAGAGCGCATGAAACGGTAACGGCTAGGCGCAGCGAACAAGCGCATCAGGTACTCCACTGTGAATATCATGACGCAGGCGGTGTCCATGCAAAAGAACGCCACGGTGTAGCGCTCGCCACATGGCATGTCTTTCTGGTTGGCAGTGGAACCACACGGCACCGTCTCCACCACATTAGTGATGACTGAGATGGCGATGAAGAAACCAGTGACATAGTAGAAGACTAGGGCCATGGTGGAGGTGTGGGGGTTCTCAAAGGCTCGCCACATGGTCTCCCTGAAGTTCATGTTGGGCAGCTTCATGTCCTTGTTCTCCTCCTGATCATCCTGCAGCCGCTCTAAATTCTCCCTCTTTCTGTCCTTGTACTCTTCGTAGCAGCAATCACCGATGATCTCAGGGATGATGCCAAAGAAGGTGAGCTCCTCATCGTAAGCTGAGATGCACTCGTGACGGGGGTAGTGGAGCTTCCCCGTCCGGTAGAAGTTGAGGATGCTTCTGAAGGCGTCAGGGTCCCGGTCAAAGAAGTACTCCTTGGTTTCCTCATTGTAAAAGAAGTCTTTTTCAGAGCTGCCCAGTAGGGTGTCTGGGTAGCGGTCCAGAGTGGTTCTCCAGGTCTGAAAACGACGGCCACTGACATTGAGGATGATCAGCTCGTCCTGTCTCTTACTGTTGTCTCTCGGGGCAACAGGCATGGGGCAGTTGGCAACAGGCATCCAGCCAATGGCTGCTGCCCTAGCGAAAGGAAGCCATGCTGCTACTCCTGTTGCCATTGTGAAGCAGTCTTCAAAGCAAGCCCTCCTCACATTCAGACCCGACTCGCCTCAAAATGAACTGGCATCTGAGAAATAAATGGCAGTAAAAAAAAGAGGAAACATAAAGCTGAAAACAGCAGCACATCAGATGATCAGCCAAATTATCAATGTTTGCCAATCAAGATGCTGTAAAAGGAGCAGAATGAAACCCGTGACATTTCGAGTTCCAAATGACTTTTCCCCTCTATTAAATTTCCAGTCACTCTCCCCTGTTCTCTGTCCAAATCCACCAGAACCTGCCCAAAATGTCATCCAATTTTGTGGGAAAAAAACAAAAACACTGATGTATGGCAACAACTATAAAGCACAAGTGCTACCTGACAGGCAGCACACAGGTAAAGATGAGGTCTGGCCTCAGTATGAAGTTCATATGAAATACTGTATACTTCAAGATTTCTACTGATATCTAAAGCCTGCAGCGGTTTTGTTGAGTTACATTTGTAAACCAAATGACTTCTGTTTTAGACCTAAGCCCACATTTGCCGCAAATGTGAATGTACAGTGAATGTAATGCAGTTAATCAGTTAAACTTTAACAACATAAGCAGCAGCATCAGAAGACACAACTACAACCACAAATCTATCTGTCCTGAGCAGCATCATTAGTCTCACTGACAGTCATGGACTGAAACAGACCTGTTGAATCGTGTTCACGAGGTAACCAGCTCCGGATTTATCTATGTGGAAATCTTATCACATAATTCTTTGGTGGTTTAATTCAAAAGTAAATATATTAATGGCTTGAATTTGCTTTTGTAGTACCTGGTCAGTTTATTTGCCGTTTGAAGTAAATACCCTGTGTTTCTACACAACCTGTAAACATATTAAAAACGTGAGCAAAAGGTCGGTTACGTTTTGAACCAACTGAAAATACCTTTCCTCACGCGCGCACATAATCTTAACTTCTACAACAAATACACAAATACACCTGTTCATCTGACGTGCTAATTACGAGACGCATCTTTAACACTTCCAATGACAACACGATAAGAAATGCAGTGATATTGATAGCAAACACTCACCGATAAAAGTGGAGGAGGGAACACACTCCCAGCGCTTCCAAACAGAAACTGAAGAGTTTCTATGAAGACCGAGTCCTCAGTTACACGTGAGCGAAGAGGAGCTCGGATCCATCAAGCGGGATGAAGCAGCGAGCAAGCACCTCTCCTCCTCGGTCGGTCGAGAGATTCCTAACACCGAGCAGAGCGCCAAAATAAAATTAAAAAAAAATTGAAAAAATAAAAATGAAAAAAAAAAAAGAAGCAGATTTAACCAGAGTCTAGCTCCACAAGAGTTAGAAGGAACGGTCTGTAGCAGCAGGATCTGAGGACATCCTCTAACTGATTCTACATCCTGGCTTCTTTGCTTTCTCCCCGTCCGTGTTTGGAAAGTGAGATGTGGAGGAGAGGAGCCGCGCGCTTCCTTCTTCACGGCACAAAGTACAATGTGCGTCTCTCTCACTGTGCCAGCTCTGTGTCACCAGCCCTCCTTCCCTCTGCCTCACTTTACCATCATATGTAACACACTCGCCCTGTCACTTGGGCTCAGTCCAATAATGTACTGCTGCATTGCTTACTTAAGCAGAAAATGCCACAGTATACGGTAATGGTGGGGATATCAGAGTCATACAGGAGGTTTTAAAAATCCCAACAGTCACTGCAGTGTAAGTAAACTCACTGTAGAGCACAGGAGAAATAGGCTTTAGCGGAAAAGATTGTTTTAACTAAAGTAAATGTATGTTGTAAACTAATACTTTGAGGGATAATGCATTATCCCACAAAAATTACTATTATTTTTCAAATAACAGCAAACATGATAGGACCGAACTACTTGGGGCTGCTGCATGGCCCCCCATTAACCTCCCAATCTCTGTGCAGTGTGTACTGGAGGCTACATTGCTTTTATATTAAACAATCATCCCTTTCCCAACACCTGATTGTGGAAAAAAAAATCATAACATACAATAGTAATAATAATATACACTTTATCAGACTAATCCTGTTGGGAAAGTTTCACAGAAATACTACTAGTCCTAAAGATAAGATAGCCCTTATCTGGTAAACTTTGCCTTTGCTTCAGAAACATGAAACACTTTCAATAGATGTTTTTGACTTAGTTTCGCTTATCAGGGATTTATTTCCTCCGATGTCGGCAAACTCTTTACATAAGCTATCAGCTACTGGACTTCCTTCAGGGATTGCTAACTCTAAAAGACACTGTAAACCAACACTATCGCTAAACAAGAATATCAGTGCTGGGTAATTCTGCCAAACCCCAGAATATGTTCAATGACTGTGTCGAACCCACTGCCAACCTGCAATCACTATCTTTAAAAACAAACAAACTGTGGTTTCCTGTATGAAGGTTGGAATCACTACATGCCACATCCCGACCTCCACACCCTTATTTTCCACCTCTCCACTTATAGGACTCACTACTTCTTTTACTGGCTCTGAATGCTTGCACTGGATGTAAATAACGAGATGCAGGATTGTGCAACACGGATGCAACATGCATACGCCTATATAAACAATTCATTATGCAACACTCGGACTGAAACAGCCTCCCTCTAGAACGCAGTGGACAGGTGCGAAAACAGAAATGTTTCCGAATGTAAGATGACCCTCATTTTTTCAAATGTAAAATGCAGGAAAAAATATTGTCTTATACTCAGACCATTATGGTACCATCTACCCCAAAAGTTGGTGTGTGGTAATTTTATAAAAACACATATATTCAGACCCATACAAGCACTAAAATTAAATCATAAAGGTGTTTAAACTATTTTTAGACACAGTGATGTTCTGTCAAAATTAGGTAATGAAACGGATCCCATCACATGTCATGTATTGTGCTTCAGTGTTGCATATTCCTGGACAGATCGTCAATGAAATCAACACAAACCATTTTACATGCAGTGCAGCTTTCAGGGCCCCAGGAGTTCTGGAGGCCTGGGGCAGTTTCCTGCTTTGCCTGGTTGATAATCCATCCCTGGGTTTTAACCTTTCACTGAATTAAAAGTGTAAAGCATGTTGAGTGATAGCTATAGCTATGCTATAAATGCTTTTTGAAAATTTCATGACATCTCTCTTCATGAATCACATTTCCTATAGGAAGCAATGAATTAAAAACTGAGTTTTTTTTTTCCTTTTACTGTATTTTCATGCAAAATAATGAATTACTAAAGTATTACACCAGTCTTTTCCAGAGTTTGAACTACAGTATATACAGTATTTTGCATGGACAAGTGGCTTTTATAGAAGTGTTAAGTATTAGTGTTAAAATGTCACTAAAAACTCTATCCGCCATCATTTTTCTCAAACACACCTTCATCATCTAACTGAGAGTGGGTGTCAAAGGAAGTCCTATAGAGCTTCGTCATCAGAGAGGAAGAAGCAACGAGACCCAGTGGCTCTCCCTCACTGCCTCACACTTCAATCCCAGGCACCATGGTCTGTACATAGGCACCTCAGGGGACTGCTGAGGCTGGAAGGGGAAGGTCTTTGAATGGATGGCCTTGTGTGTGGCTGTGAGAGGAGAGAGGGGAGGCAGAGGAAGAGAAAGAAAAAGGGGTAGAGCGCGGGAGATGCTGTGTGGCCTGGGTGTTAAGACAGATAGGCTATTGATGGACTCCAGTACATTCAGATGCTCAGATGAAGTTCTGGCACATCGTGTAAAATATTCATGAATTGAGTCTTTGAACATTTTTTAAGATGCAGGGTTTCTCTCACAAAGAGGCTTGCTTTTGTTATATCAGTGGTCTTGTAGAGCCATCGAGCCGAAGAATGAAAATATTTGAAGGTATTTTTTCTTCTTCTTTTTTCTTTTAAATATCTCTTTTCTCTGTAGTGTAACCTTCTTTTTCAGTGAGCACTGAATACAACTGATGTACAGACCCATTCGGACATCATATCATTAAGGAAGAAGTCAGCGTGCACATATTCATACTACACAGACCTCTTTAGTTACATCACTATTTCCCTGCGTATATACACATTTGAAAGCTCACAGCTTAAAAACAGTTATAATCTTTCTTTCTTTCATTGTCTTGAGCAGATTTATTCTTTTATTGTGTGAGGTTTTTTTTTTCCTTTTACGAATATATCACCTCAGTCTACCAAATGCCAGCATAGCCCTCTCTGCGCTGTGGATCATTTTTTCCACTCATTCTTCTTTCTGTGACATGTTCAAACCTTTGGGGTGGCAGCTGAACTTTAGAGAAGATCACTTACATGCAATTTATCACAACACTTTGCATGAGACGGCGACAGAGAAGACTTTCCAATATTCAAAAAAGAAGTAGTCAGGTCCAAAACATTTGGACTCCACTGTATATCTTGAGAGAATAAATGAGAAAAAAAGTAAAGAAACAGACTAAACTCCTTTCCAGAAAAGGAAACTGATATGCAAATAGCTTTGCAAGCAAGTAATTATGTCAGCCATTTTTCAAATGCAATGTCCTTTAAGGTAATACAATTTTGTTTATAGCAGTGTTTTCTAAATCCTTCCTTTTCCATCAGGTTTTTTTCCCCCGCAGTAACATTCTAACTTTATCTCAAACCATATTTCCTCAAGTGTGAGAAAATACAGGATGTTTGTTGGATCTCATTTACAATAAATTCTTGTGTGGATGGCTTTCAAGTAAATGCAATTGTTAACACTTACTGCGCACCAATTTCTACTGATAAAAAAAAAAAAGCAAGCAAATAAAATAAAATAAAAAATGTCTGTGTGTTCTGGCATATATCAACCAAATATGCACTGATAAGGCTGAATTTAATCTTTGCAGTGCTTTGGCATTTAGAAATGCAGGTATAATCAGTCACTGTTTATCATGTATTTAAATCTTAGATAGTAATTTGTATCATTTCTGTAATAGTTAATCATCCAATTTCTGCAGCCCCAGCCAAACCAACAGCTGAGATTTTAAGGTGTTTTTCATCTGGCTGTCTTGCACCT